GAGTATTCCCCTTACTATGCTTGAAGGAGATGCATTTCAAGCTTCCCAAAATTTAATCCGTCAAAAAATGTTCCTAATTTCATATCTTGAACTGGTTTCATTTTACACCAATGACCTAAGTTTTTATCATTAAATGTTTTTTGTTGTGTATTATCTTTCTACATCGTGATATTATGTTCGATATATTTAAATTATAGTTTTCGGCACCTCCTTACTACAATTTGTGTTTATGTATTTTATTGAAGTTTGCTAACAATTATGTATATTCATTTAATACAGTTTCAGGATAAATACCTCCCAAAAATATATATTTTTGCATAGTGTATCTATGTTAGATATTTTATTGTGTAGATACTGGGGGCTTGGATGCTTGAACTATTTATTTCACGACATTCATTCACGTACTACTTGATCGAGGTGGGGTTTCTTTTACTCAAATTGAAATTATTTACATGCCTCGATAAATGTTTCAGTATTACTTCAAATTATTTATGTGATTCTCTACGCACAAGTCATGTAACCTTCAGATTCGTCAGTTCATAAAGCCTTCAGGCTAGACAATTGTGTTATGACCGAGTACTCCGTGGATTAATTTCTACGTAAAATAGGTTGGAGAATTCTCAAGTCATAGAAAATGTTTTCATCTGGTGATCGTGTGATATTTTATCATGACATGCATTACCCCACTAAGCATTATTGGCTTACCCCATTTTTCTCTAAAATTATTTTCAGGTTGATGTAGCCGGTGAAGTGTTGGATAGAGGCGGACTCACGTATAGGCGAGCTTGGGCAGTTGCCTAGGCTCAATTTTTTCTGCTAAAGATGAGTTATTATAATTTTAATAGAATTATTGAGCATGAAAGGGCAAAACCAGAAGCTGCGGACGGACTTGCAGGGAAGAAGAAGAAGAAGATGATGTGCAGGTTTTCCTAAATCAGCCCTACAAAAAATGACTGTCGCTTTTAGCCTCCATTTAATTAAAAATTGGAAGCCAAAACAGCGTCGTTTTATACTAAAAAATTTAAAAAATAAATAGAAAAATATTTCTGCCTCTACACATTACGCCCGCAGACAACACAAGAAAGTCAACCCCTTTCCAAAATTAGGGATAACTTTCTCAAGATCCCCAACTCCAAATTTTAAAATTGGTTGTAACTCATCGAAGGCCACTCTATTCTCATCTTCCATCTTTCATTCTTCTGTTGAATCCGCTCTTCTCGTGGTCGTGAATTGAAAAAAAATAAAATTCTCAAGGACGGCTCATGGCTTGAATGGTTTAAATTTGATAAGGATTTCTTCGGTAAGCTAATGTAAGTGTTTTGTGGTTTGAGTTTATCTCCCCTGATTTTGTGGTTTGAGTTTATCTCCCCTGATTTTGTGGTTTGAGTTTATCTGTTTATGGTTTGTAGAAGTAGAAGTAGGAGTTTGATTTCTTGGACCAGATGAGGAGGGTTACGAGACAACTAGAGCGGGCCAGATGAAAACATAGTTTAAATAATAAAGCACAATAAAAAATCCGCCGGGTTCATGATTTGGAATCTTCCATCCTGGATGTTTTTTTTTGTGACCTGCATCAAAGAATTTGGTTGGGTTTTTAGATCATATGATTTTGTTTATGAGCACCAAAAGAGAAAAAAAAATGATATATGAGATGAAGTTTTTTATTGTGTTGTAAATAAATATTATGTCAAAAAATGATATATTGTGTTTATATATTGTGCAATCCGCATAGGTCTAGCCAAACTGTTATAAGAAATGGGGGGAAGAAAAATGTAGCTAATTAATTATCTATGAAAAAAATTGAAGTACTTAACATTATAGTAGATGCAATTCAAAAGTGGGTGTTTGCTATTCTTTGAGGGGGGATTTTTGCAAGTTGGAACCAAATTTAATTGGACTAGCTAACTCGTCATTATTTAATTATATTATTTGTATTTTTTAAATGTTAAAAGTGTTTCTTATGTAAGAACAAAATTGAAGTGATTTTTTTTTTTCCCGATCAGAATAAGTATGTCAAGTGAAAAGTTGTAAATTTTTTTAACTGAAGTGAATCATTGAAAAAATTAGTATATTGCCAATGCTAATAAAATTTTCTGTATCCGCCACTGGACTGTTGGAGAAAGTAGTAGCCGTCTTAGGATATTTATTTGGGTTTATTTAAAATTCTGAAACTCGATTTGTCATTTGAGTACTCAAATAATTAAATTTCTTTGAACTATGTTAGTTGTGATTTGAGAATGTGACTATGCTGCGGAATTTATTTGGATGAAATAGTATGATGTCGTTTTTAGTGAATTCATAAAATGTTTAAAGTGTTGTGACTTATTTACATGTTATTTAAAATGTTTCCGCGAGTTACTATTTTCAAATAAAAGGATTGGAACACTACACATGAATTGTCTATATGGTCTATAACTCAAAAACTCAATTTTCAGTTATGTACAACTATTTGTTGTTGTTTCTAAAGCTATTAATAAAAAGAATAATAATGTTGATATATATTATACTAGACCGACTTTAATGGATAAGAAAAAGAATATATTGACGAATAAGTCCACATATGGGCTAAGACACATGACATAATAGTATGGGCCAAGTCCAACTGGGGTAATAAGGTACAGGCCCCCTATAAAAGGTGATTGGTCGGAAAAAGTGTGTATTTTATATATTTATTAGTGTATTTTTATATGCTTAATTTTGTCACACTTATATATGTTCTTGACTTATTATTTATTAGATGGATTCTGGTGCTTTGATATTTTTATTGTTTATTTTTAAGATATTGGAGTGTTTTTATGAACGACGAGAAGTCGAATGAAGGTTGAAGCAGGCAGTACGGAGGAGCCCCATACTCTGTTGCGGACAGAGCTGGTACCCCATACCAGCCCAATTTTTGGCCCATTTGTGCCATGTGCGAAAATTAAGCCCAAGTGAAGACTTTACTAGCCCAATATTTGAATATAATGGCTGCTTGGGGAATAGGAGATGAGCTTATAATTAATGGAGATAGAAAAGGCCCACTTTGGGTTTATTTCAATTAAGTGACCCATTATAATTTGAGGAGAGTTACGCAACTTGGCCAGGAGGAATTATTTTGGAAGCAGCCAATTGTATATAGGATATTTATTTAATTGGGAGACATATACGCACAATAGCCACCAAAGGAGGAGTTCTATTATTCACGCAGCCTGTAGGAGCATATTCACGCACAGGAGAAAAAATACGTACAAAGGCAGAGTAAAGCAGTCGCCGCACAGAGGAGGAAACAAAACGCGAGGAACCCGATAAATCGCGGAGGGAGGCCGCACCCGCACACGAGGGAGATAATTAATCTCTCTCTTTTATCTATTATTTCTTTTTATTTATTATGTTAGGCTAGGTTTTTATTTCTAGTTCCGGGGAAGTCGAACCCTACGACTTGATGATGTTTGATTGATTTTCTTGGTTGATTATTGAGTTATCTTTTTGGAATTGCTTGTGTTATTTTGAATAATTCACCATGATGTATTAGTCTTGTTTAGATTGATCACCTAGATTAGGCTTTTCATATCTACATCTGAATTAGACCTGCAATCCGTAATTGTTGTTGTGTTTAATTCATAAGAGGTAACCGGAAGATGGTAACTACCGGGGATAACACGGCCTATTTAAGTGAGCGAACGCGGTTGAGTTCACTACTTAGTCTAGCCTATTTTTCTAATTCGTAAAGCGGCTGATTGTATTAAATCTTGAAAACGTTTTTCTGGACTGTACATGAAGTCAGGTTTAATCGTAGAGCGTCTCGCGGTTAAATTAAAATTAAGAAAAAAATCGGGTAACAGACCGTGTCATTGCCTAGGGCCAGTAATTTCATAAGATAGCGAGATTTGATTCCAAAGTTGATTAGACGAGTCAGACGAGGGTATAGACGGAACCGTGAACTAGAAAGTTCTCTTCATTTATTATTTTTATTTTTATTTTCATTGTTTAGATTTTATTTGCTTCATTAGAATTTTAGTTAGTTTAGTTATTAATTCAAAATCCCCCCCTCTTTTATTGCTTTTATAATTCAATTAATACGAGAAAATTCACGATTTGATTCACACTCCCTGTGGGATCGACCCTTGCTCACTACTACTAGTAGTTGGTAGAAGTCGGTTAAAGAAAATATAAATTATAATTTTGCCGCGTTGCGACGCGCGGTCAAAAGGGGGGCTAAGGTATCCCAAAACCTCATACTCTCTACATTCATAATTATACTCTTGAGACTTGAGTTTGTAGTGATATTGACTTAAGCATCGGAGACCCGACGCCGGGACTTCTCCCGGCGTTGGGTTCTGCAGGAACCGAGGCCGTCTGAGTTGAAGGAATTCATGTGAAATCTATTTCACTAACATTGGCGCCGTCTGTGGGACTCAGTTCAAAAAGCCAAAAATTGGCCATGGCAAACGGAGTTCTGACCGAAAAATTTCAAAAATTTCCAGCAACTCTTCTTCACCTCCGCCGGCCACCGAAAAAGGTGCTCCAATCGGAAAAATTATTGTGTCATTGGGTAGATCTCCTCGAGTTGAATCTTCCATAAAAATTTCATGCGGATATTCCACCGGGAAGGCCGACAATTTTGTCGGTCAAACATTCCGGATCTAAGAACAGAAAGTATGGTTTTTATTAAGTCTCTTGAAGTCGGTAATGACTATTGAAGAGGTTGGTTTCGTAGAGAACCGAAGTGATTAATGCTAGAATTCAATGTCCTGGGATTCCCCCCTCGTATTGAATTAAATGTAGCTATTTATAGTAACATTCCGCACGTCTTTTGAGGAGATGCGGCGGCATTTAATGCGAGTTGACAACATAGGGGCGGCTATGACGTAAGCAGGCGTGTAGGCAATGATAACGGTATGGGCAGCCCATCAGCTGATTGACAGGCGTTTTATCGGCATGAAGTCGGTTCTTTCGGACTTCGGCTTCTTCACGAGTTTGCACGTCCCCCCGACTCTTTGGTGAGCTTATTATACCGAGGTGTCGTCTTGATACCGAGGTGACCCTGGAAACAACTCCTCGCAATTCGGAATTTCAGCGCTTAACCTAAACAGTCTTCGCTAATCTTCCCGAGGAGCTTTTAATTGACATAATTCGAATCTGGTATCAACAAAAACAATTGACATAATTCGAATCTGGTTCGTTGGCCCAATTTTCCTAGTGTGCAGGAAGAGATCCAGCGCGGCCAAGGATTAACCCAACATTCGCAGCCCACAAGCTCGAGCCCAGTACACCGTCGGCCCATATGCAAGCGGCCCAGGAATAATTCCGTGCGACCAATTTCGTGCGGAGCCCAGCATGAGGGGGAGGAAAGTGCGCGGGCCGCGTCCCACACAGAGTTCGGCTCGCGTCGGCCCGTGCCTCGACCCGCGAGCGCCCCTCTTGTGGCCCAGCCCGAGCCCGCGTCAGGCCCAAATCCAGCCCGCGAACGGCCCACGCTCTCCCAATAGCCTTTCCAAGTCCATGGCGCGGCCCAACGTGGTATTTCAGTAGCCCATTAGCTCTAGTGCGGCCTATAGGCTGCCAGCTTCCTCCAACGCGGCCCAATGAGTAAAAATGGCCTCAGTTCGAGCTCACAGCTAGTCTGGAACGATACAACGCGGACGATAAAGTAATTTGATATAGTATTCTCACGATAAAAATATGGCGTTAATTTAAATTTTGGATTGGAGGATTTTAAATTGGAGATACTCTAAAAGGAAACACATGAGAAGAGTTGAGCATTCATCTCCAGCCCTTATCTCTACTCTAGCGCGGACTTTACTCTACTCTAGAGTAGAGTTGAGCATTCATCTCCAGCCCTTATCTCTACATTTTACTCTACATTAAATATATTATTTTTTTATTTGTTTTTTATTTCAAATAAATTATTATATATGTATATTTAATATTATTTTTCAGTTTTTAGTTCGGGTTCCTCTAAATAAATGCTCGAAACTTCGAATACTCGATAAATGGCTCGAATGGCATCGTGCCAATAAGATCTACTCGCCCCAACTCGTTTCTCAGCAAACCGAAATCTCACTCGACCTTGCGGGGCCGACGTAAACGGATTTTATTTATTTTACTAATATGCACCCTCAAATTATAACTTCTCAAAATAAATGATCGGGGCCTCGAAATACGAAATAAATACCACGAACGACTTCTCCTCTTCTCATGCTTTCTAGAAAGCACTCTCGCTAATACTCGATCTGCTAAACGAGGGCCGACGGGGCAGCCGAAGTTGCGACTTGAAATGAAGCTTATTTTGACCAAATTAAGAGAAAGTTGCAGCTGCAAATTGGTATATATGTATATTTAATATTATATAAAATGTTTATTGTCCAAATAAATAAAAAATACAAAATTATTTAGCATAAAAAATACATTGTACAAAGTTACTTAATATAAAAATATATTTATTAATACATATTATACAAAAATTTATCATTAATATTACATAATAAAAAAAAAAAAAAGCTGGCACAGATGAACAGTGTTGCGCCACAACTGGTGCAACACTGTTTATGTATTGATATAGCGTTGAATTGTAGCGTAAGACTAGAGCACAAAAAGTGCATTTTCACGCCAGAGTAGAGCTGCACTGGAGATGGCTAAGAACAAAGGTCAAACGAGGCGGCTATGGAACTTTCCTCATTATTTCTTTAAAATCCTGACGTTGAAATATCGAAGAACTATGATCTGCACTACCGACCGCTTTTGCCACTGTGACATAAATGTCACTGTACTAACTAATTCATGGTCGCATTTGACTCTCTTTTGAAGCAATAAATTACATACAACAGTATCCATATTCGCAGTAGACTCATTCATGCGGTCATGCCGTCACGGCTTACGATTTTTTCATTGTTGGTAGCGCGTGTTGGAATATTATAACGGCAGAATTTACTTAGATTAAATGATTTCATCTTATCTTGTATAAGATTAAAGACATAAAACTAAATTAAAAAATAATAACAAATTTTCATTATAATATATAAGATAAAATAATGATTCTAATTAATGATTTGAATTCTCCGTATATTCAATTCGGACCATGTTGGTCTAAAATCGTCTCAATAGCTAATTGAATGAAATAAAATCTAAAAATTTATGTGGCATTATTTTTTTTTTGTTTGATTTAAAATATTAAATTTTAATAATCTCCAAACCGAAATCTCATGCCATCACATCTACAATTAAATACCATCCCAAACCCACAATAACAGAACCGAAAGAGCCAAAAATCAAAAGAAAGGATAAAGAAAAGAAAAGAAAAGAAAAGAAAATGAAGCATGAAATAAGAAGAGGAAGCATTAAATAGCAAGGAAAAGTCAGACACATACAGGTAGAGATAGAGATTAGAGTCGAGAAAGAAGGCATGAATTATAGAGAGAGAATACAGAAAGTATATAGAAGAGATCCCAAAAACGTTTCTCAATCATTGTTCTGTAGCAAAATGTGAAAGCTCACAGCTAATTATTAAAAATGGCTGCTTTCCTTTCTTTGCTTTCACACTCCCTCCCTCCTAACTAACGAGTAACGACATCAACACACAAAAATACATTTGTTCTTTGTTCTCCCAAAAAACAATCGACTCTTAGGAGTATTAATTAAAAAGAAAATCCACCTCACCCAAAACCACCCCCGACACGACAACACATGGCGGCAGCCGTCGTCTTCCACCTCCTCGGCCTCCTCCTCTCCGCCGCCGCCGCCGCCGCCTCCGACGAACTCGAAACCCTCCTCCAAATCAAAGCCGCCTTCCGAGACTCCAACCCCAAATCAATACTCGATTCGTGGGCGACCGATGCCCCCGCCTGCGAGTTCCCCGGAATCACCTGCGATTCCGGCGGCTCCGTCACCGGAATCGACCTCTCGAGACAGAACCTCCACGGCCCGCTCCCCCTGAACCTCATCTGCCAGCTCAGATCGCTCGAGAAGCTCTCTGTCGGCGGGAACAAGCTCAGCGGCCGCGTGGCCGAGGATCTCAACAACTGCTCCTCCCTCAACTACTTGGATTTGGGGATCAATTTCTTCTCGGGCCCTTTCCCGGACATATCCGCCATGACCGGGCTCGTCCATCTGTACGCCAACGCCAGTGGATTCTCGGGCCCTTTCCCGTGGACCTCACTCAACAACATGACCAATCTTCAGGTTCTGAGTCTGGGCGATAACCCCTTCCATCCGACCCCTTTCCCGCGTGAGATTCTGAATCTCACCAACCTCAACTGGCTCTACTTGACCAATTGTAGCATCGACGGCAATATCCCTGAAGAAATCGGGAATCTCGTACGGCTAATTAACCTAGAACTATCAATGAATAACATCTCCGGCGAATTACCCAGAGGCATCACCAAACTCAATACCCTCTGGCAGCTCGAGCTCTATGATAATAGCTTAACAGGCGAATTGCCTCCCGGAATGAAAAACTTAACCAATCTCGAGTTTTTCGATGTCTCAACAAACAATCTGCAAGGTAATCTATCCGAAATCCGGTTTCTCAACAAGCTCAAGAGTCTGCAGCTTTTCGAGAACCAATTCTCCGGCGAAATTCCGGCAGAACTTGGGGAATTCCGGAACCTGGTCAATTTATCCATCTACACCAACAAGCTGACGGGCAAAATTCCCCAGAATCTCGGCTCGTGGGCAGAATTCAACTACATCGACGTGTCCGAGAATTTCTTGACTGGCCCAATCCCACCGGACATGTGCAAAAGGGGCACCTTAAAGATGCTCCTGATGCTTCAGAACAACCTTAGCGGCAAAATCCCGAGCAGCTACGCCAACTGCACAACATTGCTCCGTTTCCGGGTGAAGGATAACGGGCTCTCGGGCCGGGTCCCGGACGGGATATGGGGCTTGCCGAACGCCGAGATAATCGACATCACCGATAATAACTTGGAAGGCCCAATTACTTCCAATATACAAAACGCTAAGTCTTTGGCGCAGCTTTTTCTCGCTAACAACAGGCTCTCGAGCTCCCTCCCTCCCGAAATCTCACAAGCCGCGTCTTTAGTATCCATAGATTTGAGCAATAACCGATTCTCCGGCCTCATACCGGACAAAATCGGAGACTTGAAGCAACTCACCAGCCTCCAACTGCAGGGAAACAACTTTTCCGGCCCTATACCAGACTCGTTAGGCTCCTGCCGCTCGATCAACGAGATAAACATTGCCTTTAACGAGCTTTCGGGTCGAATACCGGGCTCACTCGGCAACCTCCCGGCCCTCAATTTTTTGAATTTGTCAAAAAACCATCTCTCGGGCCCCATCCCTGAAGCCTTAGCCTCGTTGAGGCTTAACCTGCTTGACCTGTCGGGCAACGAGGCCTTATGCTTCAACCCGTGCTCTAAAAAATCAGGTGGGTCCCACGTCGGGAAACTCGTGCTCTGCCTCCTTCTGGCTTCTGTAATAATCCTTCTCGCGATGCTTTCGGGTTTTTGCTTCGTCAAGAGAAAGCGCGAAAATGTGGTGGTTGGACGATCCTTAAAGGACGACTCGTGGTACGTGAAGTCCTTCCAGGCGTTGACTTTCACGGAGGACGAGATTCTCGACTCGATTAGACCGGAAAATTTGATCGGCAAGGGCGGCTCGGGTGACGTGTATCGAGTCGCGGTTGGCAACGGGAAAGAATTTGCCGTGAAGCACATTTGGCACTCAGATGATTACAAAATTGGGGGCTCGAGCTCGACACCCATTCTGGGGAGACGTGGGCCCAGCAAGTACCGTGAGCTGGAGGCTGAGGTTCAGGCATTGAGCTCGATTAGGCACATAAATGTGGTTAAACTCTTTTGCAGCATAAGTAGTGAGGGCTCGAGCTTGTTGGTGTATGAGTACATGTCAAATGGGAGTTTGTGGGACAGATTGCATAACTGTAGGAAATTGGAGCTCGATTGGGAGACGAGGTATGAGATTGCGCTTGGGGCAGCTAAAGGTTTGGAGTATTTGCATCATGGCTGTGATCGACCCGTGATTCACCGTGACGTGAAGTCGAGCAATATTCTCTTGGACGAGTATTTGAAGCCGAGGATTGCGGATTTTGGGCTCGCGAGGATTGTTCAGGAAAATCCAAGTAAGGAGTCGACTTGCTTCATTGCCGGAACGCATGGGTATATTGCCCCAGGTACAAAAAAAGGGATGATCAAATTGCCTTGTGATTACTTTAGAAGTTGTTCATATCTAATTTAATTCTCTCTGGTTTGTGTTTTTTGCAGAATATGCGTACACAAACAAGGTGAATGAAAAGAGTGATGTTTATAGCTTTGGGGTTGTGCTTATGGAGCTTGTGACGGGAAAAAGGCCTATGGAGCCTGAGTTTGGGGAGAACAAAGACATAGTTGACTGGGTTTGTGGCAATCTGAAAACCAAAGAGACAGTAGCGAGCTTGGTTGACTTAGCCATTCATGAGATTCAGAGAGAAAGTGCTATCAAAGTTTTGAAAGTGGGCCTGCTTTGCACGGCCAGGCTTCCGTCTTTAAGGCCGACAATGAGAACTGTGGTCCATATGCTGGAGGAGGCAGATCCATCTCAATTTGTTGGCATTCTTGTTACAAAAGATGAAGGGGTTAAGTAGAAGAGTAAGAGGAGTTGGGTGGAGAATGGGAGAGTTTTGAGATTTGATCCGAAAATTTGGTACTTTCGTGACTTCGCTATTTTGTGTGCCTGAGTTGGGTTGGGCGATGGAATAATTTTGTTAATAGTAATCTTTTAGCCAATAAATTTGGGCAATGTTACATGTATAATTATAGTATATAGTTGACAACATTAATTAGGTGTTCTATAAATTTTTATCGAGTCAAATTTTAGTCATGCCACCTCATGTTATCAATGTTGTACAAAAAAAAAAAAAAATTGTACAAATAGCTTTACCAATAAATTTTGCTCTAGATATATGTATGTATGAAAAACATATATTGTATTGTCGTAATTTGTATAGCGAAGTTGTAAGGATTGTCATGTATGGAAAGGGAATCTTTCGTGATACAAGTGTTGTTTGATCAGTAATTTATATATATTGAAAAAGAGAGGTCAATAAATCTTTTTGGAAAAGTTTTAAAAAATTCGCAGTCAACATTATTGACTTACCCATTTTGGCAACCCTTTAAAATGTGCATTTCAAATTTGTGATTTGAAATTTTGATTCCATATTGCGGCTGAATCTCCTTATTTTTCTGCATTAGTTAGGGGAATATGGCAATGTTTTAAAATTAAAACGTGAAATCCGATTGAGATGGAGCAAGAAAATCTCTTTCAAAATTAATTGGTGGAACCGATCAAAATCAATCTAATTATTCTCGCATCTCACATAAAATCTGATCCCAACTATTTCTCGCCATCTCTCCCAATTCTCCGAAAGCCAAATCTCCCAAAATCAAATCAAAACAAATCGCTTCCAAACAATTTCTCCAACTAGGGCTCGACATGAGGATATACGCACAACGGAGCTCAATCAGCTTCCCCGTCGGCATCAATCTCCAATTAGTCGCTAGAGAATCTCGGGATTTTGCGTGACGGAGGAGAAGTTGCGGGCGATCATCGGGAAGATTGACGCCGACGAGTTCAGCGCCCTGTAAGCGGCGGCAATGAAATATGACTGAGGCGACGAGATAAGGTAAAGAGACAGGGTAAATGACTTTATATCGGTTTCTCCATGAAGATTGATGAATAGTGCAGGTCGAAGGTACCCGACTAATAATTTTGGACTGGGTATCTGATCAATGCTTTATGACAATCATTATTCTGTGTTTTAGTTAAGGAAGATGGTGTTTTCATGCTTAGTTTTATTTAATTACATAAACCTGGACAGAAGGCTTCAAATAACTGAACACAGATCGGCGTTAGAAATGGGAACAACTTGTGGATCTCTTCTATTTGAGCTACAGGTTACCTTTGATTTCAATGTGAGCGTGTTAATTAAATAGAGATTTCGAATTAAAATATTCAATCAGAGCAACGACTTATATCAATGGAGACGGAGCAGTCGCCTGAGGCCTCGTGTTGCCAGATTGTTGGACAGTCTAATTTCGTGCGCCGTCAATTTGCTGTTATTGAGAAAGGACTGCAAAGTGGGGTGCGTGGGATGGAGATATGGTAAACGCCGACTGCGTCGAAAGACGATAGTGGCGATATGCAGATCTGCTTCGGACTTCTATCTGATCCGGACAACCCCGAGAATCGACATTTTGTGGGCCAATGATTCGTCCTGCCTGAGGATGACGCGGCATTTATGCGTGCTCGACACCTACACATGTTTGCTTGATAACGGATTTCTGTCTTGAGGAGAGTTTTTTGCGTTGCTCGACAATCAGTCCTTGATAATGTTTAGAGAGGACTCAGCCAGGTATTTGGTTAAACTTATAGTCACTTTTTTCTTCCTGAAGAGTTGGTGGACTAATAGTGGATATTGATGTGTGTTAAGTATTCTCTGACCATTAAATAAATGTTTCATCATTAACTTGCAGATTTTATGCAGCAGAAGTTGTCATTGGCCTTGAGTATCTTCATTGTTTAGGTAATTCTTGTAGTCTTTGGCATTATAATATATTGGGCAATTAAAGAAGCTACCTGTTAATTTAGTCTAATCACAAATTAAATATACAATTTACATTTGTAAGACTCATTTGTATGTTGTTCTTTTCTACAGGGGTTTTTACAAAGCTCGGTAGTTGAAGTGAATATCATGGAACATGTTTTTTTNTCATGGAACATTTTTTTTTTTAAATAGTTCAATCATTTGCCCGTCCTATGTTCTCTATAACAGGAATAATTTATAAGGAAAGAAAACAATCAAAGTAAATGAGCATATGGTCATTGTTATTGCAGAAGGAGCAGGACAAGAACTTCTTACAGCAAAAAAAGAGAAAATTGCTTCAAGAAACAAGCCGCTCAAGATGTTGGGTTGTGGATTTCTCAAAAAATAAAGGTATCGGTTATGTAGAATGGTTTTGTTACTTTTGAGGCTATTTCTTGATGTGTTCTTTCTTTTGTTTGATTTTCTTTGGTAAATCATTATGTGCTAGAAAGAAGAAAAATACTAATAAAAAGGGTTAGGAGGAATGCAGCAATTGGATGGCCACCTATTTATCCCATGCTACTTTGAATATATTAACATCTCTACCCCACCATCAGTAGTGACAGATTATATATAAACCGGAAGCCTTTAAAGCCCGAATCTATAATTACTCAGCAACCCTTGTCTTGTAAGTTGTAATCAATATATTTAATATTTTCACAAATGGGGTAGTAAGAAAAACAACATAAGTAGCCTGCAGAAGAAATTTATTAGAATTTGTGGAGAAGCTTTGTGAGATGGTTGGAGCACATTGTATGGGGGAAAAGCACATACCCTCGGCAAATACTGGACAGAAGGCTTCAAATAACTGGAACACAGATCGGCGTTAGAAATGGGAACAACTTGTGGATCTCTTCTATTTGAGCTACATGTTACCTTTGATTATAGTTTTTAAGTACCTCATATGTATAGTGAATACATAGTTGTTTTTTCTCTTTGTGCACTTAATTTTTTCATTATCTATCACAATTCTTACTTGCACCAGAAAATATGGGATGAAATTGGGGAAGCTGATAACGGAAGGGACAAAATGCTTTTTGAACTTGAGCAAGAGTGTTTGGATGCTTATAGAAAGAAAGTGGATCAGGCGAGCCGTTCCCGGGCCCAGCTAACCCTTTTGAAACCTTGCATATTGTTCAATTTCCTGACATTTACTGAAACCTTGCACTTCTTTTTCTAATTATATGTTTGTGTCATTGATTTCTAGAAATGGCTAATGGAAACTATCATGTAACTCAATCGTGGAACACAAAATTGCAGCATATACTTAGTCTATTGATGTAATTTTTTGGGCAGCTTGATCAAATGGAACTGTGTTCTGTCTTTTCATTTTTGTCTTAATATATACAACTATTTTCTAAAGATGGAATTGGATGTTTTCAAGTCCATGGGGACCGTGTGCAGCATGTACTTTGCTTTTTCTTTATTTGATTGGTAAAACTTCTGTGTTGATATATATTTTTCCAGAAAATGTGTGGCTGAATCAAGGATGGTGGTTTTTGACTGCCGCAAGCATTTGGAGGCTACTCTTGCTGATCTTAAAGAAATTTTAGTAAGTTATAAAATGTTGTAAATTGTTGTAAAATGAATGTTTTGAATATTCAACTGGTAAAAGTTTGTGGTGTTGATTATTCTAAAAAATCTGTAGATGTCTTTGTATTTGATGAAATGAAATCATGCAAGAATTTGAAATTTAGATATACATTATATTTGAATACTTGACAGTACATTATAGTAATAATATGTAGTGATTCATTAAACATTCTGAAAATGCTTTTCGATTCTCATTGTCTGTAAAAATTTGCATTGTGTTTGGGAAAGAGAGGTTTGCATTGTCTGTAAAAATTAGCATTGTCTGTAAAAAATTTGCATAATCTGAATTTGAAGGGCCGCCATTATAGGATTTTTGGTCAGTATTTCTTAAGTTGAATAAAAAAAAAATGTTCTTTTATTTGTTTGCATTCTTCTTTATGTGAGATTTGCTGTTTGGATTGGTTCAGTTGAGAAAAGCAAAAGAAAAAAAACTCTCACCTTTTGGTTTCTTGGCTCTTTATGTTGCAATTGGGAGTTGATTAAAATAATGTGACACAGAAAAATTTCACCTTTTGATTTTCTTTGCCTGCTTGAGTTTTGGTGGCTTTTGTGTATTGAATTTGTAATGAAATGTTGATGGGGGGATTTTCATTAGGCAAGAAGGGCTTTAAGGGCATTAAAAGGATTGGTGAGGCTCCAAGCCATAGTCCGAGGCAGACAGGTTCGTAAACAAGCTGCGGTAACTCTTAGGTGCATGCAAGACAGGTTCTGTTGCTTTTAATTGAATCATTTGACTATAGAATGACGATTAGAGATCATTTTAACTCTAAGCCCATTTTATTTCTGAATATGGTGATCCCATTTTTGCTAATATGTGGTTGTTTTGTTCTATGTTTCGCATCATCATACATAGATATTTGCCTTGCTGTTGAGACCCAACAAAGAACACAAAATTCGATTTTATTGGAATATCTACCGCCACGGGATAGGATATACAATTCTAATCCACGGAGTCATCAATGTGTTCAAAGGTCTCGGCATTTTACAGCCCGAGAACAAGTGGAAAACTGCGTATATTGTCTTGATCTCAATTTTAGGAGGTATTTTCGTATTTTTGGAGGCGATCACTTGGGTTTTCGTTCTCAGGAGGAAAAAATCCGATCAGTCGAACATTGATATATTATTGAACATCCGATTATCTTATGTGATGTAATGTGTGGTATTATCGTTCGATTAAAGTAACATTTTTAGTTGTTCGATCGATGTATATAATATGGAATGGGATTGGTCTTCTTTTGTTACTTTCTTTTTGTAGTTTGTTTTCCACTGCAACAATATATGGGTATTATTAGTTCATATGATACTATGAATGGTCCTGCAGTATGTGAAAATTTGATCTCTCAAAAAAATGTGAATGGTGCCTGTGTGTAAACTCTAGGATTGTTTTTCAATTTGAAGTATGCCGTACACATTTTCAAACGAATTTAAATATGAATTAGATAAGAAGATTTTTGTGATTCTTAAAATCCAAACTATCTAAAATACTATTAGTTGTTTAAAATAAACACGTAACTAATCCAAATGATTTAAAAGATTTCTATATTTTAATGATTCATCGAAGTCCAACAATATTAAATTCTTTCTTAAACACAAAAACGATTTTGTGAAATCTTATATTTCCTTTCTATATGTTATTTGTGCAATTATTTTACACATCCTTTAGATTAAGGTGTGTATATATATATAT